GTGTGTACCTGCAGATGTCTAGGCATCTATAATTTCGTATATAGACGCGCTATTAGCGCATGCGGTCCATCTTTAAATGAATTGACATGAGACAGAGAAACAAAAGTCAGGACGCGCAGCGAGTCTCACAGCGCCGAGCCCTTACGGAAGTTGCGGGCCAGTTATTTCCTATTTTGTCCATATTCAGTCTCGCAATCGCAGTAAATCAGATCTCATTGGCCGCAATCCTCCAATCCAATCACCAGCCCCCAAAGAAAAGTACTCTTTAATTTCCCTTGTGGGCTTGCCTATGACTGCGCCGCAGCGCAGGTACTTAAAAAAGCAAATTGAGCGGCGAAGCAGTCTAGTCCTATATGCAAACGACCCTCATAGTGTGATTGTGTGATACCACTTCCTTTCCTCCATTTCGCATGTGCTCGCACCTCGCAGATGAGGAATGGCAAAGGGTGTAGTGTGATTGATTACCGCCTTAGACGATACAGTCCTCAGCAGCGGCGGGCACCATGAAACTGCCGCTGTAGTGCAGGCTGTGCAGCCTTGCGGGACGGCAAAATAACCCATTTACCGGCGCTCTTCCGAAGCTCCACCTACTGCCAGTGGTGAACAGCTGGCACCCTCAGTCTCGAAGTAATCTCTCTCTCTCTCTCTCTCTCTCTCTCTCTCTCTCTCTCTCTCTCTCTCTCTCTCTCTCTCTCTCTCGCTCTCTCTCGTGTTACACCATCCTGCCCCCTACTGATTGTGCTCGTGCTTGCACTTGCGCCTGCTCCCAATGGACGTCTGCGTATACGGCGAGGCTGTCACTGTCGTCATTACGAGTCCCGCCGAAAGATGCTTCATATCGAATCGAAAATAATTGTAAAAAAAAAAGTTCCCTCTCGGAGAATTGTCGGAGAGTAGTCGTCATATCTTATTACCTCTCAGAGGCATTTTTGCACTATTGTCATGGTGGTATTCTGGGGCTCTGGAACTCTGTTGCACAGATCTTTCTCGGAAGGAGCACTGGAGACACAGAAGCGCTGACCAGCTCAAAGCGTAATGCTAATTCATAGGTCTGCAGACTCTGCAGTCTATGTCAGAGCCCGCAGTTATGACGGCTGAACGCGGCTCCAATCGGCGAGGACGCTTACCTGCTAAGTAGTAGGCCATCACGACCCCATGTTCTTTCTATTCGGGTTCATTCCCACCCCTCCGAATGCTCCTCCTGCAATTTGCCAACCTTAAAGAAATCTCCCCAAAAATTCAACCAAATTGAAACAATGAAAAAAAAAAAAAAAAAAAAAAAAACCAACGAAAATCCGACACTTCTCGCCGAAAAACCACCTCCTTACCAAACCCTCTCTACCAGGTAAACGCCTTCGACCGCCTAGATAGCTGCATGGCAAACCAAGTCCGAGGTACCCCAGATCGGCCATAAATATCGTCTTCTTTTCTACTGTCGGACGACACTAATCTAGGCCCCTTAAAAAACAACCCGATCTAAAAAAAATAAGAAAAAAATAATTAATTAATTAATTAATTAATTAATAAATCTGGGCCCCTTGACTGGATGTCACCACCTTTCTAAGTGAGCTGGTCGCCACTCTTGGGGTCAGTATCATTGAAACGTTCGTAGACTCGACTTGTCCCAAGAGCTTCTTTTTTCTTTTTCTTTTTTTTTTTTTTTTTTTTTTTTTTTTTACAAAACAAAGACTCTGCAAGAGCATTTTGCATTCAGCGAAAGGCTGCAAGTAATTATTATTTATTTTCTTTTCTACACTCGGAAGCCACTGATCGAGACTCTCTGACTGGACATTATTTCTGTTCTTTTTCTACGTGCGCTGCGCGCCACTCTTCGGGTCGGGAAACGCTCCCAGACCCGACATGTCTCAGGAGCATCTTCGACTCAGCGAGAGAGTGCAAGCAATTGTTTTTGGAGACCGTTAAGAGGTGTACTTCAGCTGCCCTGTACGAGGGTCAGTGTGGGCAGCGTAGCCATTACCTGCGTTGCCTTGCATTCTCCCGTCTAAGGTGCTGTGAAGTATACTTGCAACCTCACTCATTGTGGGCCTCTCATTTCCTTGAAGTTCTTCAGTGCATTGTCGAGCTACTGCTACCATCTTCTCTACCACCTGGCGCGAAGACATACCGTGTGGCAGTTGCTGGCCTGGCCCGCCCATCAGTCCTGGCTGAATGTCCACCAGTGGTTTGCCGTTTTGAAGATCCCGGATGGCTCCTTCGCTGATGCGCGTAACTAGAAGTTCTAGCAGGATGACTCCGAAAGCGTACACGTCACTTGCAGGTGTCACTAAACATTGTCTCTTGCACTCTGGCGCCAAGTAGAACTCCCTCTCCGCCACGATCTCTTCATCTACGTATGGGTAAGTATAACCTGGAGCCCCTTGCGCATATGCTTGCTTATATGGTATACTTAGCGAGTAATCTAGCAGGACCACCTGCATGTTGTCATCGCGCAACAGCACATTCTTGGTCTTGAGATTGAAGTGAATGACATATTGACTATGGAGATAGGCCACAGCGTCGGCTATCTGACAAGCAATGGTCAGCCTCTCGATCAGAGTCAAGGGATTGAGAAGATAGGGTTTCCCGGGATTCTTATGTTCTTCATATAAGCGGCTGTGTAGACTAAGGCCCGGAATGCTCCGATAAACGAGGATCGGCTGCGGCTGCTGATGCGGCCCTTCCTCGCAATAGCCTATCAACGGAGAGAGATATTGATGACGGATGCGACCTAGCGTCTCACTTCTATCTTTCATTGACTTACAGGAGGTTCTCGTCCAGTGGGGAACCGACTTCATCTTCTGTATCACCACCTCCTTCTCGCCGATTGTTCCCCAGAAGACATCGGCGAATCTCCCCGCGTCAATCCGGTACCTGTCGTTGAAGTTCTCCGCGGCACCTTCAAGTACAGGCAAGCTGCACGTTGCGAAAGCCTCGTTCCCGTCGCCAGGGAAGGGCGTTGCAGCAGGCGGCGGCTGCGCGCCGATCCGACGCTTCTTGTAAATGTGCACGATGAGGAGCGCGCTGACAAGGCCCACAGCTGCAACAGACAGAACCGACACCGCGGCTGCGAGAGCTGGATTGCCAGAGCGTGAACGGGAGTGAGGCTTGGGTGGCGAGGAGCAAGACGGCTGCTGGAGGATGCCGGGAGGAGACGTGGAACCGGCACGCTTATGGTTGGTCCAATTTGACACTGACGGGGAGGATACCGACGAATTCAAGGAAGGCGGAGATGATGACGAAGATAGCGGAGGTGTGAGTGATGGGAAGGGTGGCGACGAGCTCGAGCTCGACGAAGGCGGAGACGATGAGGATGAAAAAGGGGGGAAGAACTCTTCTGAAGAATTCGAAGGCTCGCTGACGGGTGCTGCGTAGCTCGACGAAGGCGGAGACGATGAGGATGAAAAAGGGGGGAAGAACTCTTCTGAAGAGTTCGAAGGCTCGCTGACGGGTGCTGCGTAGCAGGTATGCAAGGAGTTGCTGTTTATTTGGAGCTCGAACAAAAGGCCCTTGTTCGATGCGACATACAAGCGTACGTCATCGCCTTGTTGACGGAGCTCCAAGGCCCACAGGGAGGAATCACTGCGATTCAACTGAGCAACGGTATCCGAAGTGAATGCTCCGCCACAGGGCTCACTGAGCTTAATCCAGCGAACCTTACCAGACTGCTCGCTGACGAAAACATTGCACCCGTCATCCGTGGCTACTACGCTCCGCAGTTCGACAGCATCGAATGCCGGTGTCGTTGAGTTCGCGACAGGTGTCATCATCCCTACATTGTGATTCACAGACCACACCTCGTTCTTTTTCGTGATAAGAAAAAGGCAGTTCCCATTTGCAGCAATGCTCCTCCTGCTGAATCTGAGCTCTGGGGAGTCTTTAACTACCGCTAATTGGACGAAACTTTTGGGAAGTTCTCCAGCTAAAAGAAAGGCAGTTTGAAGACACGCGTGAGATGCATTCTTGATTGCGAGATATAGTTGGTTATTAGTGCTGTCGAGCGCCAAGCTCTGTGCGCGCTTGGGAATGGGAATACTTTTTCGGCTACCATTCGCGGAAGAGAGGTCCGTGAGCCATGAGTTGTTTGGATCCTCGTCTGAGCTGTACGAAGTCAAGAAAATGCTTCCCCAAGGTGACAGTGCAATGCTGTGGGGAATAGCCATCGCTTTTCCAGCCTCGTCCGTCTTCCCGTTTGACTGCTGTATCTTCACCGCAGCGTTCACTTTCTGTCCTTCCACTGAGTCAGCGGGCCACCAATTAGATACGAGAGAACTGTCGCCTCTCAGCAAATCTGCTTTTCTGACGGAAACATTCCAGTTCTTTATGATTCCGTCAGCTGAGCAGCGCGAGTCAAGAATGTAGTACAAGGAGTTATCATTTCCGCTCAGGACCATACTATGGTAGGTCGAGGTGCAACTGCCATCACCGTTCGAGCCCATCGGAACGTCAGTTGAATGGTCCAATACTACTTTACTCGACCAGAAAGGTGCCCCAACCTTCTTAATGTCTAGCATTAGGCTGATGCCTGGCGGAGGCGGCGGGAGAACCACATTGGGGTTATCCTCCAGCCACCTCCCTTCAAATACCGTCTTCAGAACACGAAAACCAAGACGGTGTCCATGTCCGCGCGAAACGGGCGACGAGTCGTGCCTTGCTTGACCAATCGGCAAGTGTAGGTCAGAAAACCACACCACCATTACCAGCCCTAGTAAGCACATACCCTGTTTCAGTCCGACCGACATTCGAGCGGTGAAGTAGCCGCAAATGTGAACCCAGTCAAACGAGACTGGTCCCACAGCAGTAGTACTCTGCTCATTCTGAAGTCCGATCGGGCGCTCCTTCCCCATGGAAGCTGCCCCTCTGACAACAGAGTACCGCAACACCTGAGGGTCGTTCCCACCCCGCGTAAACCTAACCCCTAAGGTAACCCGCGTATATCCCACGCAAGGAGACGTACTCAAAGTAAGGACGACCACTAAAGGGGTCAGGCTTCGGCTGAGCCGAGTCGAAGTGATTATGGATCCAGGCTACGCTAAGTGTGTGGTTTCAAGCGATACCTTACTCTTCACCTTGCATTCCTGACGAAACAGCTCCCTTCGGTCAAAACCTCTCCTCCACAGCACGCCTCCTCAGCTTAGCCCCACCCCGCTCCCATCACTTGGCTACCTGCACAATCGCCGGTGAACAGACAAGAGCCGAGACGGGTCAATGATCAAGACAGGGACCGGAATTGATTAATCAAGATGGCGGCTTTGGCCGCGATTTCGACAGTAGTTTTGAAATTTCGTTTTGAGAAACGCCGACAACCTTAGCATATCATCATTGAACTGATCGGCCCAAAGTAATTCAGAGTGATTTAATTCATTTGGTTCCATCAGGAGTAGAGCTTCGGTATACTGATCGAGAGTTCATGGGTGGACCCTTCAGCCACATGGGGTTTGTGAAAGCCGGCAATTAGGCATTCTGGGCCAGATCGACACCGAACTGTCCAGGGTACTTCGAAAACCGAAATGGGCAAGCGGGACCTCGTCACAGAGCGTCATATCTTCAAACCCAAGACTATCAATTCTCTAACATTATGGATAAATTTCCTGTAAACATGATAATCAGCCATTCCCTCAATATCCTCCGCATTATCTTTCCGGCATATCTCCCTCTCCTCCCCCTCTCCTCCTTATATCGCAATAACACTTGTCAAACTGCCCTCCCGTACAGACTCCCTACTACTGTCTTCAGCCGAATAGCGTTATCGCTGCATCTGGATTGAAAGTTGTCCCAATTACAGCTATAATGACCGAGTGTTGTATTCGGATGAAGACGGTGGTTAGGCTTCGCTTTTTTATCCCGTCAGCTCACAGTCATTGATTAATGTGCTGACGACAGCGGATCTCTGAGCATCATGACGAACTTCGCAGCGCCACTAAAACAAAAGTCCATGCCAATACAAATGACTTCAAGGTTGATTCACCTCCCTTGTCACTTCCGATTTTTTTTTCCCTCCTGGGTATATACCTCCTGATTCGATAAAAATATTTTTACCTGTCCCATTGAGTCAATTCACAATTGTTCAAGATCTCTCTCTCTCTCTCTCTCTCTCTCTCTCTCTCACACACACACACACACACACACACACACACACANAAAAAAAAAAAAACACCCCGCGGCGCGCTTACACACATACACGCGCACGCACATTGTTTCCGCCTCTCCCGGGACGATTTTTCTTCTCTCCCCTCCACTTCACCCTCTCCCGCTCGCCACACCGTCACCTTCCCGCCCTTCACCTCCTGAATCTCCCTCCTGTCTCTCCGACTTTGGATCTCGATGGACACTTTTAACGCGTTTCCAATGTTCAGGACTTCGGCATAAAAACCTACCTTGACTGAACTTGTTTTAACAAAAAAATATATAAAAATTTGATCCCGTCCCTATTGACTCATAAGTTAAGACGGCGATCTACAGCACCCACGAAAACGACCACTGTAGGGCACCCAGCCAAACGCAGACAGAAACCACAAACCACGCATCCTCGCATACACACGCGGACTCGCAGAACCACCGTAAACATCGACTCGAACGCAGAAGACCACAGCATCCCATTCAGTTCATCCCGTTATTTCGACCCGACTCTTCCTTCTTTCACCCGCGTAGGCAAGTTCTCTCCATTGCTTCACACAGCAAATAAGCAGCGACCACACCCCTCTCCTCCCGCGAGACAGGCAGACCTGCACACCCAAGCACGCACGTGGAACCGCACCCACACGAACACATACCCGCACAGGGATGCGTGCTCAGTCCCACACGGATACGCCCACGCTTGTACATAAACGCAGTCCTACAGTCTCCTACTGTCACGCACACAGACCATCGCGTAGACGCACGCGCAGATGCCCACAGACAGCCGACGAACGCATACACACAGACAAACGCACTCTCACACACAATCAACCGCACATGATTAGACGGACACACTCGCTCGCAGACGACTACGGAGGCGCGCGCGCGCACGCACGCGCACGGGTATTAGTATACTCTCATGAGCAACTCGACCCCCTTTCTCGACCGCATAAAATTCTTGATAGGTCTACCTCCACCGTGAAACCCTGGTTATCTCGCCTACTTACGCTCTCCTTTCTTAGTTTGGACCATTTCTCGATTTACGCGTGTCATCTGTGCGCAGGGGCATGCTAATCTCTGTGCATCCTTCCAATTTTAAAGATGTCCCGAAGAGCAACATACACACTCTCGATCGGCCTACCTTTCCTAATATGAGACATACGCTTGCGCGGAACACACTACCTATCTGACGGGTGCTTGCGCTGGGCGCAGACGTCCGCTCGTACATCCGAGACCGTCGATTCTCCACCATCCGTCAATCATAATCCTACCTAGTAGGTACCGTAACCCGACTCTACGCTGCCGAACTCACCTAGAGAGAAGTTCAGTCGGTGAAAACTGGGTTTCGCTTGAATTGCTGACGAGATCCATGTCGTTTCCTCTTTAGCCACTGCCCTTGCTTTGTCCGCGCCTCGTAGTATCGCCCGCTCGCTCATTCAGTCTGAGAGATGAAACACCGTGCCGCTGATACTCCCGCCAACACCTTCACGTCGTCAAGCCATCACTCTCATCTCCACACCAGGTCTCTCCCCGTCCTTCCCGCCTTTCCCTGCCTTCCGTGGTACCAGACTGATAAACACTGCGAAGCGACCTTCCGCCAGACAGCGTCATTCTTCGGCTTGTCACTGCACTTGCGGATTGGATCGCCCGCGAGTTGCCGCTGCAGACCGTGTGCCGGCATCGGTGCTGAACGAGTCCTGACTGAAGTCCTCAGGGTACACTCCCGCCAGGACTTTCCGGGAAACGTCTGACTCCATGCTCGTTTTTTCTCGTTTTTTTTTTAAGGAACCTTTTATCACGAGGGCCCAGTACCCAAGGCAGAGTACATCGTGTGGGCAGGACCACGTTACAGGGGCAGACAGGGCCCAGCCTTCAACCCTCAGCCTGAGCAACTGCCTTCCATGAAGCCCTTGTTTTTTCTCGTTTTCCCTCTCGGGCGAGCAACGGCCCATACATAGGCTGCAGGCACCTCACCGCGACTTCCGGAGGCCGGAAACGTAAAAACAGCCGCTGATGAAATTTATCAACGCCCCCGATGCCCCCGAAAGTTGCGGCACGTGCATCTATATCACGAAAATTCTTCAGTTGTGCAAAACTTTACTGACGAAAACTTCTCACAAAATCCCGTTGGTCAGTCGTCGGAAAAGGCTCCAGAATCGCACTCTTGAAGGTTCTCGAGTGCCCCACATTTTGAAGGGTCCTCGGTCCCCCTACCGAAAGGGAGGCTGCACCTCATGTCTGGGCAGATAAAGTTTGTCCCATAGTCGTTTCCGGTAGTGCTTGCCAAGTTCAAGCTTGCTGTGGAGCGAAGGAGGTGTTTCCCCTACCTTTTTTTTTTTTTTTTTTTTTTTTTTTTTCAAACCAAACCCCACGTCATTGTTAGTGTTGCTGATAAGAGCAGACACCACTAACACCTGGGGAGAGGATCCGTCGATTGGTGGGGAGCATCACCTGCTGGAAAACGGGTCCAGGTCCCTTATACAGAAAATGAGAATGTCTGAGAACAGTGACTGTCAGACCTGCCAACATTGATTGCCCTGTCTCCAGGGGATTTATTGAGCAGGTATGTGGAAATCATAGTGATGTAGCCCTTGTTTCCCGTATCTCTTCACCCCCAGGGGGGACGCCAGATGTCTCAATAAGCTCTGATACCACTTCAGGAAGTAATAACACTTGTTTAGTTGGGAGGAAAACTCCCTGGGGGGCTCCAGGGGAGAGTTCCTTGTATGAAAAGGGGAAGTAGTAGAGTAAGTTGCTAGTTTATGTCTATTTATGTCAATTTAGGACAGGATCTCTGCCAGGGAAAGGGCGTGGGGCGGGAAGGGGTCAGGAACGTAAAAACAGGGCGGAGTGGGAAAGAGGGTTCTATGGTCGTCCAGTCCTTGAAAATTAAGCGATAGTCTCTCATTTCCTCCAGATCCCTCTGTCCCTCCCCCCCATCTCCACTCCATTCTACTTTTGCAATCCATCCTTCTCTCTCCCCTCCCACCCAGTTTGTGCAAAATGATGTAATCCTTCTCCTGACGTCTCCTACTTGTTTAAAGAGGTCTAGTTGTGATTTGGTGACCCGCCATTTTTGTGAGAGTTCGAAGTGTATCTGCTGCTGAATGTGTTCGGTGATTTCTGGCACCTCTACCCTCACTTTATTCCTGGCCAGCGCACATCTCTGCCACCAAAGTGCCCACAGCACCGCCCTCCTTCCAAGTTTGTACATATTCTCTACGAAGGTCGTGGCAGCCTCTGCATGTGGCCAGTGGCCGGCCAGTATGGCTTGCCAAGACCAGGGCCAGGGGGATCCCACCACCTCCATATGAATTGGGCGATCGGGCATTGTAGGAAGATGTGTTCAATGGTTTCCGCCCTTTTGTGGAAAGGGAAGAGGTTCTGGCACCGTTGGCACCATGGGAGCAGTAGGCCCTTTTGCTCTAAATTAGTGCGGTCTGTCAACCAATCATTGGTTGGCAGACATCTGTGGGCAATTTGCCACTGCAGAGAAGTGATTTTCATAGGTCTTGCCTTCTGTTCCTGGAACCATTTGATTGGGGTCAGGAGGGAGCGATCCACATTCAAATGTCTGGCCCATCTATCATTGATAACATATCTCAGCCGTCTCTTAGGTCTAAGCATTTTATGGGCTGATTTGACTGACAATTGGTGTAGGCTGATGCTTCCTGCTTTGGGACCTACCCTTTGGTGAGGTTCCCAAGACCATTCTTCCGGATCCAGAGGCAGGTCCTGGATTGGTTTGAAAGGCTGAAACGCCACCCTCTGCCCTTTGTCTT